AGTCCTCTGATTTTAAAGGCTCATCTGATGGCCCTGGGCCCACTCAGGTAACCTGGAAAGGTTTTTCTATTGGAGGGCAACTGCTTTATAATTTCAGCTACAAAACCTTCTCAGAGCTGGGTCTAGATTAGTGTTTGAATAACCAAGGACAGAAACTTAAGAAGAAAACTTTAGAATTTCTCTGCTAAGTATGTTAAAAATATATTGAAGATAGAAAGCCTACAGGATATTTGTCCCTTAAAGACTAAAGTTGACAATAGAGAAAGGGGAATCAAGAGAATGGGACAAGGGAAGGCTATAAGGTATGAAATTGTGTTATGTCCATGTATAAATGGACCACACTGAATCCCACTTATATAGAGAATTATAATATTCTAATTAAAATAATAACAATAACAGAAGGGAGATAAATCAAGTAGAGCAAGTGAGTCAGGAGGAAGTTCCTGGCCTCCAAACTCAAACCAGATCCCAAATGGAGATGGAATCAGCTCCAGAGTTGGCTAAAAGAGTGTGAGTTGTAGATTGTATTTTCAGAAATAGAAATCATGACATTTTGACTGATGAGTGTTGCACTCCTTTTTTAAATGTTTTCCTGCATCAATTTCCACTTCTGTCAGTTAGTGCTCTCTGGTGGAATGAAGGTCAAGGAAGAGATTATGCAAGTGCCCTGCACTTAGACAAGCTGATCCCTCACCAGGGCTTTCCTAACTCAGTAGTTACTTTCCCCCTCTTTGATGCCACAGGCCTGAGGCCCAGGCCATGAGATGGGGCCCTGTGTCTGAACCTCTGGATGGCAGAATAAGAGATCTCAGGCCAGGGGCCACTCATCAAGAAGCCAGAGTGGTCTTAGAGTCAGGTGATCATTTCACTCATCCCCCCACTGGCCTGAAATGTGTATTTGAAGTTATTTAAATGGTGCTTACCTAGTACTTGAATGGATGTTTAAATGATTGGATCTCCAGATAACAATAAAAGTGACCAAAGGAAACCTTAAGAGGTTAATCATAGCCAGGGGCTACTGCACATGCCTGTGATCCCAGCTTCTTGGAGGTGAAGCAGAAGCATTGCAAGTTCGAGGCCGGCCTAGGCGATTTAGGGACATTTATGCTGTCCAAAATTTAAAATTTTTAGAGGAGCAGAGGATTTAGCTCCATGGTGGAGTGTGCCTGGATTCAATCCTCACTACCTCTAAAGAAAAAGGGGGAAAAATGATTCTTTCTGCCTCAAGAATGGCAGCAGAGCTGCGCATTTCCTGTTTGGCTGTCAGAACTTTTCATAAAGGAGAAGTTGCTTTTTACTTCTGCTTTCAGAGTTTTTCCTGAAGGTTTAGGTTCCAGGGCACAGAATCTACCCAGAACTCTCCTTGATGACAGTCTAGCTGACTTGGACCACGTTGATTTTAGATGGGAGTTTACTGGGTGACCGAAATTCTTTGGTCTTTTCAGAGTCCAAAGGTGGGAAAGAGGATGAAACTGGAGGCCCCAACTTTATCCTTTGATTTGGGTTCACCTTCTCTGGGTCTCAGCCAGGGTGGCGCAGGGAGTGAGGCTGGGAGGGCAGATGCCAGTGGCTAGGCCTCCAGAGTCGCTGGGGAGTGTCTGGCCCGCGTGCTCCCAGGAACTGGGACCCAGGCGAGGGCAGCAGAGGGGAAGTAGGGCACTGGGCACCAGGGTGGAGGGGCCTTGGGCTTTAAAGGCCTGGCACCGGGAGGCAGGTCTCCAGGGCTCCGGAGCTGGGACCCCTGGCAGGTGGGGTCTACCCCATGCTCATGCCTGGCTCTGCTCTTGCCTTCAGTCCCCAAGCTTCCCCTGCGGGTTCCGCCCCACTGGTCTGCGTCCCTGCGGAGGGTTCAGCACCTTGCTCCAGTGGTGGGAGCCTCAGGACCCAGGTAGCTCAGGGAGCAGGAAAGAGAGGGAAAAGTTAGGGCAGGGGCTGGGATTATAGCGCAGGGGTAGAGCCATTGCCTCGCACTGGGTGGAGCCTCAGCAGCACATAAAACTCAATAAAGATATTGTGTCCATCTTTTAAAAGTAAAATAAAATGAAAATAAGGGCAGGAGGATTCGAAGAAGCAAGAAGGCTTGGTAAGGGTCCCCAGTGCCACTTTCGTTTTCAGAAGTGGGGGAAGAGCCTCTCTCTCCAGAGACCCAAGAGCATGACAGAAAATGCTTTAAGTTTTCCCGCTGCGGTGGCATTTAATTCTGCACTCCAGTGGCGGTGTTGTGCCTTTCCAGGGAGGAATTGCCATGAACTCCACGTGGCCCCTTTGCCCAGCACGGATGTCTCTATCAAAGGTTGTTCTGAGTCATGGTGGCAGGTCCAGTTGCTTCCAAGTTCATGTGATATCAACTTTTTAGAATTTTCTTTTCAAGGAAAAGAAAGGCGGGTGTCTCATGAAAAATCAAAGGGAGATCAGTAGAGTAGAGGAAAAAGACCCACCAGGGGGAGGGAGGAGAGGAGAGAAAGGAAATACAGGGGAATTATATTGGCCAAATTCTGTTGCTATATTGTGCTTGAACGACTATGTAACAACAAATACGAACATTACCACAACTATAATGCACCAAGAATAAGACGGAATTAAATTAAAATTTAAAATATCAAAACGAAATTTCTTACATTTGAAATATCCCTTTTTCAATCACTAGGAAATTGTTAACTAAATTTTGGTAAATCCTTCTACTAGAAAACTATTCAATTGTTACAAAGAAAGTATTCTGAGATGCATCTGTATTTTTGAAAAATAAAAATAGTTAAATGCAAAAAAAAAGAATTTTTAAAAAATATTTTTGGGGATTTTAAAAATTAGTGCGTTATAATTATACACAATAGGACTCAGTGATAGGGCTGCACTCACCAGACCCTGGGTTAAAGGAATACCTTAGAAGATGAGTAGGCAGAATTAATATTGTCAAAATAACCATTTTGTCAAAAATGGTTTACAGATTTGATGTGATCACCATTAAAATGAGAATGACAACCTTCACAAAACTAGCAGCGGGGAAAAAGTCATTAAATTCATCTGGAAGAATACAAGAACCAGAGTAGCCAAAGCAATCATGAGTAAGAACAGCAATGCGGGAGGCATGTGACCTGATCTCAAATTATACTACAGAGGTATAGGGGGGGAAAAAACACATGGTATTGGGGGGAGGGAATATGAAGATCAATAGAATAGAATAGAAACCACAAAGACAAACCCACTTAGATTCAGTTATCTAATCTTTGACAAAGGTGCAAGAAAGATATGTTGGAGAAAAGTCAGCCTTTTTATTGGTGCTGGGAAAACTGGATATCCATATGTAGGAAATGAAACTAGCCTGTCTGTCAACCTGCACAAAAGACATATCAAAATGGTTGAAAGTCTAAGGATTTAGATCAGAACCCTTGAAAGTGCTAGAAGAAAGCATAGGTCAACACTCAGAGCATATAGATACAGGAACCAACATCCTTCACAAGATGCCCAAAGTACAAGAAATAAAACCAAGATTAAATAAGTGGGATGCCATCCAAATAAAAAGCTTCTACACAGCAAGGGAAATAATTAAGAACATGAAGAGAGAGCATACATTAAGGGGGAAAAATCTGTCAGCTTTCCTCTGACAAGGGATTAATATCCAGAATACATAAAGAACTCAAAAAAATTCTCACCAAAAGGGCGAAAAAAAAAAAAAAACACCCAAATAAAACAATCAACAAGTGGACAAAAGAACTAAACAAACATTTTTCAAGAGAAGAAACACAAATGGCCAAGAAACATATGAAAACATGTTTACATCCTTAGCATGAGATTTCATCTCAACCCAGTTAGAATGACAATCATGAAAACTACAAATACCAAAAATTTCTGATGAGCAAGAGAAGGAAAGGAACAATCAAGCATTGTTCATGGGGCTGCAAATTGCTATAACCACTTTTGAGAGCAGTATGGAGATTCCTCAGAAGACTTGGAATCAAACCACCATATGACCCAGCTATTACACTCCTTGGTATTTATCCAAAAGAACTAAAATCAGGATACTATAATGATGTGTGCATACTCATGTTTAGAACAGCACAATTCACAATAGTTCAGTTATGGAACCACCCAGGGACTCATCGACATTGAATGGATAAAGAAAATGTGCAAAACTTACATAGTGAGGTTTAATTCAATCACAAAGAAGAATGGAATTATATCATTTGCTGGTAAATAAATGGATGGACCTGGAGAACATCATGCTAAGTGAAATAAGACAGACTCTGAAAGCCAAAGGTTGAATGTTTTCCCTCTCATAGTTAGAGAGGGAAAAAAGAAAAAGAATTTAAAGATAAAGGGGGGAATCTCATAAAAATAGAGGGAAAGGGCAAACAATGGAGTAAAGGAAAGGGCTGGAGAGGGAGGAATGAAGGGAGGGGATAGGGAAGTACTGGGTAACAAAATCTACCAGATTGTGCTATGTGCATGGATGATATGGCACACATCCCATTCTTATATGTAAGTATAATGAAGCACTGCAAATATTTTACATGAGGATGTGCAGGGCTGGTGGGGGAAAACGGTAACCTATTGATAGGAATGTGTAGTGGCAGATCAGGAGCCACTCATCAAGAAGCCAGTGGTACAGAACCCCTGGATTCAATCCCTAGTACCTCAAAACAGAAAGAAAGATCTTTTCTGCAAGCCTCAAGGGCGGAGTAGAGAAAGCATTTCCTGTCTGAATGTCACAACTCCTAAAAGAGAAGTTGCTTTCGCTTTTGCTTTCAGAGAGTTTTTCCTGAAGGTTTTGGGATCAAGGGGCTCAGAGTCTACTGAAAACTATCACTGATGGTAGGCTACCTAACAACTGCCTTCAACAATGTTGATTTCAGACCGGACTCTAGGGGGGTAACGAAATTCTTAGGTCTTTTAGAATAAAAGGGATGACTCCGGGGGCTGGAATTCAAGGAGCTAAACACCCAGGCCCAAGAAGTCCCTAGAGGAGGCAGGAAAAAGGATAAGACCCCAGGCCCCAACTTTACCCTTTGCTTTAGGTCCACCTTCTCCGGGTAATAGCCAGGGCCGCGCGAGAATGAGAGGAGGAGGTCGGAAGCCAGTGGCTGGGAGGCAACCAGAGTCCCTGGGCGCCCGCTCCGCACCATCGCAGAAAGCGAAATGAGGGCCAATTCCTACCACCACAGCGATCCCGATGACGTTGATGACACCCTGGGCCAAGCAGCTTCGGAAAGACCGAGGGGCGGAGCTGCGATCAGACGCAGGGGACAGGGAGGGGAGTGGTACAGGGGGCGGGGCCTCAGGCTTCAAAGGCTCTTTTCCCTGAGGAGGTCTCCGGATGATCTCCAGCACAGTGACCCTGGCCAGTGCAGGCCTACTTACTCTCATTCTTAGCATCCATTCTAACCTTTCTTTCTTTGAGCGGTGCCAGCTGTAGAGTTGGAAAGTCGAACTTATGGGGACACTTTCGTCCCCTCCACACTCCCCATACTTCCCCTGCAGGTTAGGTGCCCCAGTTCACCTCCTCGCAGCAGGTTCTCAACCCTGCATCTGCACTGGGACCCAGGTAGCCCAGGGAGCAGAAAAGAAAGGAAAAAGGGCAGGAGGATGGGAGGGGGCGAGATGGCAGGAGAGATACAGATGGCTTGTTGTAAATCCCCAGTGCCACTTCCATACAAGAAGTGGGACTCGTGCAGGGTCCAGCCACAGAGGTGATCCGAACTATGATTCTGTAAGGACACGGAGACCAGGCGGGGGAATACTAGGGGGCGAAACTATGGCCAGATGCCGGAGGCAGGGTGCTACCTGCGGGGGTGAGGGCGGGTGTCGGGACTCGACCATTGAAGGCTCTGATCGCTGCCCAGGTACAGCAGCGCTCCAGAGCTCCTGAAGGATGGCAGGTGCAGAACCCGCTATTCTCATTCATACCATCCAGGCTCTGTTCCCGCCTTAAGTTCTTTGCTCTGTGCGGGCCGGTGAGTTGAGGGATCCAACATACGGGGACACCTCCATCCTCTCCTCACTCCCCAGACTTTCCCTGAGGGCTTTGTCCCTCTGGTCCACAGCAGGTTCTCCCTCTGAGCCTGCGGTTGGAGCCCTGGGACCAAGGTAGCCCAGGGAGCGGAAAAGAGAGGAAAAAGTTAGGGCAGGCAGATGGGAGGGAGCGAGATAGCTTGGTATAGGTCCCCAGTGTCACCAAGGAAGCGGAACATGCACCAGATCCATCCACAGCAGCGATTCTGAAACAGTACTGTGTCCTGGCAGCTGGAGGGCGCGGGGGAGGGGAAGAAGAGTGGAGTTACGTCCAACGCAGGAGGCGGGCATTGCTGGGGGGCGGGCCCTGGGACTTTAAAAGCTCTCACCGCGGCCAAGGTCCCACGGTGATCAAGAGCTCCCTAACTATGGCAGGTGTAGTCTGCGCTACTCTGATTCTTATCATCGAGGCTCTACTCCAGCCTGACTTTCTTTGGGCGGTGCCAGACGGTGAGTTGCGGGATCGAACTTGTGGGGACACCGCCGTCCCCACTTTATTCCCCAGGCTTCTCCTGCGGGCTCTGGGTCACACTTCATCGCAGCAGGTTCTCGATCTTGCAGCTGCGGTGGGAGCGGCGGGACCGCGGTAGCCCAGGGAGCGGAAAAGAGACAAAAAAGTAAGGGCAGGAGGATGCGAGGGAGCGAGATGGCAGAAGACAGCGAGATGGCTTAGTGTAGGTCCCCAGTGCCACCATCGTAATCTGAACGATGTTCCCGTGATTCCGCTGGGACACCGGGCCCCAGGCAGCAGGAGGGCGTGCGCTTTGGAGGGCGGGGCAGGAAGGATGGTGACAAATAGGCGGAGCTACAGCCAAACGCGGGAATTGGGCGCTGCTGTGGGCGGGGCCTCGGACTTAAAAGGCTCAGACAGCTGCCCGGGTCCTGCCCTGCTCCTGGGCTTCTTAAGGATGGTAGGTGTAGTCTCAGCTACTCTCATTCTTAGCGTTCAGGCTCTGCTCCCGCCTTACTTTCTTTGGAGGGCGCCAGCGGGTGAGTTGAGGAATCGAACTTACGGGGACACCTCTGTCCCCTTCTCAGTCCCCAGACCTCCCCTGCGGGCTCTGCCCCTCAGGTGCGTGCCCTGCTTCAGGCGCTTGTCCCGGCACCTGCGGAGGGAGCCACAGACCGAGTTAGACCAGGGAGCCAAAGAGAGAGGAAAGGGTAAAGGCAGGAGGATGGGAGGGAGCGAGATGGCAGTAGAGAGCAAGAAGGCTTGGTACAGGTTCCAGATGCCACTTCTGACTTCACTCCTTGGAGGGGGAGGGGGGCTAGAGAGTCTCTAGAGGCCCAGGAGCACCAAAGAGCCACTGTGAAAGGGTGTGCGTTTTCCCGCTGCGGGTGGCATTCACTTCTGGACTCCAGGAGAGGTGTTGTGCGTTTCCAGGGAGGAATTGCCCTGAACTCCTTGAGGCCCCTTTGCCCAGCATAGAAGTCTCTATCACAAGTCGTCCTGAGTCATAGTGGCAGGTCCAGTCCCTTCCAAGTTCATGCGATATCTACTTTTTAGAATTTTCTTTTCAAGGGAAAGAAAGGTGGGGGGAGGTATCTCATGAAAATCAAAGGGAGATCAGTGGGAGTAGGTCCCCAGTGCTACCTCCATGCAGGAAGTGGAGATTCTGCCACCACAGAGATCTGAACAACAATTCAGCTGGGACACCAGGGCCCAGGCAGCAGGAGGGCGTGCGCTGTGGCGGGCGGGGGAGGACGATGGTGACAAATAGAGGGCGCTACAGCCAGATGCGGGAATTGGGTGCTTCTGGGGGCGGGGCCTCGGACTTGGGCTCTGACAGCTGCCAGATCCTGCAGTGCTCCTGGGAAGAAGGAGAGGAGAGAAAGTGGAAATACACGGGAATTATATTGGCCAAATTCTGTTGCTATATTGTGTGTTTACAAATATGTAACAACAAATGCGACCATTATGAACAACTATAATGCACCAATAAAAATAGGGAATTAAATTAAAATGATAAATATCACAAAAGGATTTCTTACATTTGAAATATTCCTATTCCAATCAGTAAGAAAACAGTTAACTAAAGTATGGTAAATTCTTCTACTAGAGAATTATTCATTTGTCATAAAGTACATCTGAGATGCATTTGTATGTTTGACAAATATCAAGAATAATGTGAAAAAATAGAATTTTCTTTAAATTGTGTGTGTGTGTGTGTGTGTGTGGTGCTGGGGATTGAACCCAGGGCCTTGTACATGCGAGGCAAGCACGCGACTAAGTAAGCTGTATCCCAAGCCCATATTTTTTGTTTTTTAATTAGTTCATTGTAATTATACATAATAGGAACAGGGATGTAGCTCAGTGGTAGGCTGCATACACCAGACCCGGGGTTGATGGAAGACCTTAGAAGATGAATAGGCAGAACTAATATTGTCAAAATGGCCAATTTTGCAAAAGTGATCTACACTTGATGAAATCCCCCATTGAAATATGAATGACAACCTTCATAAAACTAGGTTGGGGGACAGGCATAACATTCATCTGGAAGAGTAAAAGAACCAAAATAGATAAAGCAATCCTGAGTAGGATCCCTTTCCTCCCTTCCTCGCAGCCCTTCATCCTATTTCTCTACCCTTTTGGTCTCCTTTCTATTTTCATGATATTTGTTGTTGTTGTTGTTGTTTTCCCTTTTTCTCTATGGTCTCTACATATGAGAGAAAATGTATGAACCCTAACTTTCTGAGTCTGGTTTATTTCACTTAACATGGTCCTCTTCTGTTCCATCCATTTTTCTCAAACAATATGATTTTGTTCTTCCTTAGGGATGAATAAAAGTCCATGGTGTATATATTCATTTACTTTACTCATTTGTCTGTTGACAGAAAATTAGGCTGGGTCACTGATTTGGCTATGGTCAATTGTGCTGCTATAAACATGGATATTCCTTTATCTCTATTGAATATTCTTGCTTAATTCTTTTGGATAAATTTTTACGTTTTGTGTAAAACGTACTAAAAATATCTACAGCACAAATAATTGTGGAGAAGAGGCAGAGATAATAGAAAATACACTAGAAAGTTAAATGTCCACGAGACTCAAATTAATAGAAAAATATAATTTTTTAAAAGGGAGAAGGGAAGAAAGAAGAAATAAAGAGAAAAGAAGGAAGGAAAGAAAGAAAGAAGATTATTAAAAATCCTATAATAGCTACATATCATTCCTTCTGTTCATTTGGATTAGAAATAAAATATTCATTATTTTACTATATCTCTCATTTCTTTCTCAACCCTAATCTGCCGCAGTCTTGCTGGGCACAATCACGAGCCACTCAAGCAGGAACAAACATTAGTTCCAAACTCCACCACCACGCTCCACACGCTTCCCAGGAACCTCTCCCAAAAGTAATGCAGGCAGCTCCTCCAGGCACACACCACACCAACCGGAAATCCCTCCTCCATAACTTCCCCAACCAATGCGAATCCTCCAGGAATCCCCTGGAGAACTCCAAAGTAGCGCGAGAACTCCAAAGTAGCGCGAGAACTCCAAAGCACTGGGCACCCAAGGCAGCAAGAGCCGCCCCATTGCAGACAGTAAAGGTCAAATATACAATAAAATCAATCCAGCATCACAGCAATTATATATAGCTTAACTCCAATTATCATCTCAATGGTTCGCTGGCGTCACCTTTCAAACATTCCCTCTGGCAAATGCCAGGCATCATTCTGACCTGCATGGCTCTCAACACTGATCTATGCCTCCTTCCTCTTTAGCCTGGATTATTGCATTCCTGCTCAATGGACTTGTTCAATCCTCCCTATAGCAAAAAAAGAAAAGATAAAAGTTCAGAGAAGAGGAGAGAAGAAGAAAGGAGAAAGGGGGATTCAAAAAAAGAGAGAAAAAACTAATTAAAATTATAAAATAAATAAAACTAGATAAATGTATGAAAAAATAATGAGTAAAAACAAAAGATGGGCAGGGGATGTTGCTCAAGCAGTAGCGTGCTCACATGGCATGAGCGGGACGCTGGGTTGGATCCTCAGCACCACATACAAATAAAGATGTTGTGTCCGCTGAAAAAAAAAAGAATAAATATTTAAAAATTCTCTCTCTCTCTCTCTCTCTCTCTCTCTCTCTCTCTCTCTTTAAAAACAAGAGAACACAGACAAAACAAAAACAAAAGTCAACAATTCTTCCTTGCTCAGGTATTTGAACCTCTAACTTTGGATCCACCAGTTATGGGGTAGTCATGGCTGCCATGAGGGTGCTTCTTCTTAGCTTCAGCCAAAGAAGCCAAACTAGATTTGCATGATGCAGACAGAATCTCACCCACCTTCCCCACTGGATTGGCTAGGGCAAAGCTGCCTGCATCAGGGCTGTATTCACTCCAGAGGTCTCTGTATGTGCAGCTGGGGACAGCAATGCTGCCAGTACTAGGAACCTTCACATGCAGGACCTTTGTGTACCCATATTCCTCTGTGATACCCAGTGAGTGAGTCAGCAGGATGGGATGTTTCCTCTTTGAAAACTGAGCAATTACTTTTCTCCATATGAAAGCCAGATAAAGCCAGGCATGGTGGCACACACCATTAGACAGAAAGGGTACATTTTGAGCAGAAAGAACATGAGTACGGCACTGTAGTATGCTGGTTTTAGTCTTTTGGGTATAGACCGAGAAGTGGGATAGAGGGGTCAATTGGTGGTTCCATTCCAAGTTTTCTGAGGAATCTCCACCCTGCTTTCCAAAGTGGTTGCACCAATTAGCATATAGGTTTTGACCATTTGTATTGCTTCTTCTATGAAGTGTCTGTTCAGGTCCTTTGCCCACTTATTGCTTAGGATATTTAGTTTTTTGGTGTTAAGTTTTGTGAGCTCTTTGTATATCCTAGAGTAAATGCTCTATCTGAGAAGCAGGCAGCAAAGATTTTCTCCCATTTTTTAGGCTCTCTCTTCACATACTTGATTGTTTCCTTTGTTAAGAAGAAGCTTTTTAGTTTGATACCATCCCTTTTATTGATTCTTGATTTTACTTCCTGTGCTTTAGGAGTCTTCTTGAGGAATTTGGTTCCTAAATTGATCTGTTCAAATTTTCTGTACCCTCCTGACTCAATTTTAGTAGATCATATGTCTCTTAAATTTAAGACAGAAAATGTTGACAAACTGGTAAACTGTTTTCTTAAAGAAGCTTCCTCCAGTGCCAGAGATCTTGAATTACCTCCAGATCAATCATCCAAAAACATCTCTCCACATAATTGAAGAACTTGGCTTTCCCTTTGGGAAGTGAAGCACCTTTTTGATATTTTCTTTCATTTTTGCTTTTCTGTCTTCAACAGAAGTAGGTCCTTGGTTTTTCAGGAGTTTTTCCCTGTGTTTAGGAGGATTCTTGACCTCTTGATCTTGGTGTCAGTGGCTTTGCATCTTTCCTGTTCTTGTGTCACTGTTGTGCATTTTCAGCTGCTGGGTCTCAGAGATTTTCTCACTAGAGCTTTTGTTTAGGTTCCTTATTAACAAAATCATCATCTTCAGCAGCAGCAAGTTTTGCTGCTTTCTGTTGAACCCTGATACTGCTTCCAGGGTCCAGCTGAACCACACTTCATGTCAAGACCATAGGTGGTGTCATTTTCAAGTCCACAAGGGAAATTATTTACTGCACAGACATTTTTCAAAACTGCCACTATTGCCTTGAGGGGACTGCCTTCATAATTCATTCCCTTTACACCAGCACCTGAAATGACCATTCTAAAGAATTACTTGTGTTCATTTTCATCATTATCAACCTCAAAGTCATCATATTTGTCATCCTCTATTCTCAACAAGAAAAATAATTCTGGGGCGTTAGGACTTGTGTCTATATTAATTGAATCTTTCATTGTGATGTATTTAATGCAAATGGATCCCAATCATTAAGATGAAAGAATTTGAAAAGATTAGATTTAATGTGATCGAGGAGAGTGAGGCTGGGAGAAAATACAGACATGGGAAGAAACAGATGGCAACGAGGCAGGAAAAGGAGGAGGAGAAGTGGGTAGAAGAAGGGCAGAAGGAAGGAGCTCAGTAACCTCCAGCAAGCTCTGCTTCCCCTACAGAGACTGGGTATTCACAGTGAATTTTCATTTTTTAACATCTCCTTTTCTGTTTGAGCATTCTATTAAAAGGAAATTCTGTGTTGCATTACCTGCTAAACATGTCTTTGACAACATTTTTCTTCACTGAATATCAACTGACCGGTTCTCAGTCCACCATTGTAGATCTGGGGCCAGCCCATGCCACAGGAGAAAAGGCATATTCGCACATGCCTGACTCCTTCTTGCCTGTTACTCTGTGATTTATTCTCAATAGAATGTCTCCAGTATATTTTGCTGTAGATCTTCTTTTGCTACTACTACTATGCTGCTGGTAGAAGCCTGGAAGACTCTGGTCCATGATTATTAGCAAGAACTAGTTGGGAACAGGGAGGAGAGATTGGGGCTCCATTATGGGTACAAACAAGTGGAGATCTCTTCTGAAGAATGACCAGAGAGTATGGTTAGGCTGGAGAGGTTCCCTGGAATCTGATGATCAGCTCATAGGGCTCCAGCCTAGGACACCAGACTAGGTTCTGTGCTCCTGTGTGGCAGCTCCCCTCTGCTGCCTTGTTCCTGCATCTACTCCATGATGACCAGCCTGAACACCAAGACCATGATGAATTGACCTGTGATCCTCCTTTTCCACTCTATTGGAAATACTGTCTGTTCAGCTAGGTTTTAATTTTCAGGAGAACAGATACCATTGTGTATTTTTTGTGCCCAGAACTTGGTTGAGATCACTGAAAGTGCTTTCAGATTAATCCTCCTGGTTACATTCTGCCTGTGAGGGGTCCCTGATAGCACGAGAGCATCCTACAACCTCAGTTAAAGGTGACACCAAATAAAAGATCTAGATAGAGGAGGTTTAGGATGAAGACTCCTCCCTCTGCCAGCCTGGCCCTTCAGAGGGAGTCTGGGAGTCACAGAAGGATGGGGACTAATGGTCCTCTTCTCCCTGTCCTGAACCTCACTTCCATGTTTCTCTCACAGGTACCCACTCTCTTTGCCTCGACTTCACTGTCAAATCTCAGTCCAGACCTGGGGAGTCCTGGTGTGAAGTGCAGGGCTCAGTGGATAAGACCGCTTTCCTTCAGTATGACTGTGAGAGCAACAAGATCAAACCTTTGGGTCACCTGGGAAGGGAGGTGAATGCCACCAAAACATGGACACAATTGACAGAAATGCTGAGAGAACTGGGGCAAGATCTCAGGATGATTTTGCTTGACATAAACTTGGAACAAAAGATGGCCAGGGGTAAGTATGGAATGGGGTGAAGAGATAGAGCAGGAGAGAGGAAGGGGTGGAGTGCGCATGTGGAGGAGGCTCTGGATGTGTTTGTGTAAAAGAGCTGGACATTGGCCCAGCCTTAGAGGGATGTGGGGCTTAATGGGCAAGAAAGGGCAAATCTGGGAGAAAAGAATACAGGCCTCTAAATGTGCAGAGAAACGCTCAACCTATTGGGAGGTGACGGATCTATCAAGAGTGGGAGATGATGCTTTTGTTGTGTATTGCAGGTCATCTCACCCTGCAGGCCAAGATGTCTTGTCAGCTTGAAGGAAAAAATCACATTGGTTCATCCTGGAATTTCAGCATTGATGGACAGCCATCTCTCTGCTTAAATGTGATGCACATGGAGTGGACAGTGATTAATCCTAGAGCCCGGGGGATCAAGGAGAAGTGGGAGAATGACAAAGAACTGACAGAACATTTAAGGAAGGTCTCCATGGGAGATTGCAGTCACTGGCTCAGGGAATTCTCAGAGCACTTGGAGGAAATGCCAGGTAGGATGCTGAGTTTTCATGATATAGCTCAGCAGAGTGGGAAAGATGTGAGAGTTCTCTTTAAAGGTCTTATTCTGAGGGCTGGAGTTGTGGCACAGCGGTAGAGTGCTTGCCTGGCATGAGTGGGGCACTGGGTTCAATCCTCAGCACTACATAAATAAATAAAGGAAAGGTATTGTGTCAATCTATAGCTAAAAAAATTTAAAAATAAATAAATAAATGCCTAATGGCTTACCTGTAGGATATTAGCGTGTGTGTAATGGAAAATTTGTTGGGCTGAATGACTGACTGATTTCTTGATGGGCTTCCTGTCTGGATGGTCAGTGATAGCCATATGGATTTATCACCAGTCTCTCTTTCCCATCTCACCTCCTAAGTGCCCTTCATTATGTAGGAACTCCCATTCTCCATTAAATAATGATCCAGTCTTAATAGTCTGCTAACTAGTTCCCAAGTTATATATACTTCTGTAAGCTTTCAGGCCTTCTCTTCTCCCTGTGTTATAATTACCCTTCAACCAGCTTCAGTGTTAACTTCTTATGAAGCCTTCCCTACCCCCTCAGACAAAATTAAGCACCACCAGTTGTGTCAACCGCCAAAGTGTCATAAGTACAATAAATATGCCAAAATGGATGGACATTTGCTGTCCCCTTCAATAGTGATGTGAGCTCCATAAGGACACGGCACAACCTCTGTTCATCTCTGTACCCCCAGGACCTGGTAGAATAGTGGTCCCATAATGAGTCAGTGAATATATGAGTCCCATGGGCTGCGTGGGATCACAGGTGCTGAAGAATGGATATTTTCAAATCTGACAGCGATTTTGCTCTTTTATTTGTTTTAGCAACAACATCAAGAGTCCCAGTTACCGAGCAGTCTCCACGTAACCGATCTGTTTCCATGATCATCATAGGGGTCGCCAGTGGCCTAATCATAATTATCTTCATCATCATCTTCTTTTTCTGGAGGAAAAAAAAGACACAATTAAAGGTGAGGGATAGTCTGTCCTCTGTGGTTGTTTTTTCCTTTAGTGGGGAGCAGTGTCTGTCTTAGTCTGGTAGGGCCTTGGGACAGTGAGGGGAGGGCATACAGGAGTCTCTTCCTGAGTTGGGGCAGCTCTGAGATCTGGAAAACCTGTGTGAGTGTTGCCTCAGATCTTTGGTTGAGGAGTTATTGCTCTCTAGGATAATATAACATAGGTTAATAATTTTCCTTCATATTGTAGAAGCTGTTTCATCATCAACTATGAATTCTGTGGACCATGGGAAGGCAACATCATCAGACCAACTCGTGATGGCAAGAAGTGTCCTTTGATGACAGCCTTTATTCTGCCATTCTTTCCAACAAACTGTCCTCCATTTGGGTGGAATTGGAAAGACTGTGGATGTTTTCCTTATTTATAGAAGAAAATGAAATAGAAGTGTATAAATCCTGGTTTAATGAGGTTTATTTACATGTTTACACTTATTTTTATATATACTTAAGTTACTGATGGGCAGAAACCACAAGTCAACTGTGCTAACTCCCTAGATGTCATGACCCAAAGGATTAAGGCCATAGAGTGAAGTGACATGTGGATATATTAACATCTTGTTGTGACACTTGGAACAAAAGAAAGGATAAAGTGTGACATGTTTATAGCTGGAACAGTTACCCTATAAAAAATATGGTTAACTCCCATTGTGGAGAGCAGTGACAATGACTGGTAGACCAGTGTCTGAGATTGCAATCCCTGATGACTTCATGGCTGTGGCATACTTGGTGGCTAGGAAAGTTTTGGTGCAAAGCCATAGGATGCCTGGTTGCTGTGAAGACGTCCTCCCTGCTAGAGACTTATCAGCCTCAACCTTATTCTCAGGCACCTCAGCTCCTGGGAATGATGGAACTTCCTTCCTAAGATAAGGACAATGTTTCAACAGTTCTGGTGCTCCTGAATCTGCCTGTGAATTACTAGCTTTAAAGAATGGACTTTGTTGAGAGATGCACAATTCTACTAACATTGCACATTGCAAATGTAGAATGTAACTGAGGAAATAGTTTTATACTGTTGCTAACTCTGTAACTTTCATGAATATAAAGAATAATGCTTGCATAGTCTTTAATCCCTGATTTAGAGACATATATAATAAAGATTTCTGGTGTAATTTTTTAGACCTGCTTCTAAAGCCCTCCATCCAACCGCAGCCGTTTTATCTTCAAGATCCACGCATGTTAACTCTTTATTTCTTCCAATCTCTCATCGCCCCTTGCCAGAATCTTCTGCTAGTTTGGCCATGCTGGTCGTAGCTCCCATAGATAGGATCTATGACTGTCTTAGACCCAATTTTCCTAGATAGGAGGAAAATGCCAGACACAAAAGAATCGATACTTTATGATTTAATTTATCTACATTTTAAAAAGAGACAAAACTAATCTTTAGTAATAGAAGTCAAATTATGGGGGATTTGGGGGTTTCATGATGACAGTTTAGAGGAAGGCTGCATTCCTAGTGGCTCCATGGCTTGGGATTCAAGCAGCAGGAGTACTGCTTAACTGCAAGGTGGGTAAAAAAGCGATTTCACTGAAACTCAATATTGGACAGTCACAGAGGCTTAGAGACTCTGAAGTTTGGATAAGTAAAACAAAGAAGAAAGAGTACATTGAAACCGACCTCGTTTTGGCAGCAGTGGTAGCAGCACTGGTTCAGCACAGAGGGAGAAACAAAATTAACAGATTTAGTACAGAAAATCCTGAGTGTAGACAGCAGTGAGTTGAACCATGATTTCTAATTGCCTCATGTCTGAGTTTCTGCTGGGAACCTCCTATGTAACGGTTGAGGTCAAGGTGGCCCGGTTGCTATGGTGATGCCCAGCCAGAGGAAGCTCCCTGGCAGAGCTGTATCATTTCAAACCTTAAACTCAGACATCAACTTCATGGAATAGAGAATTCTGAGCATGATAACCTCTGTGGAGAGTGGTGACAAAGAATGGGAGAGCAGTGAATGAGACTGGGGGTCTCTGATGACCTCATGGCTGTGGCACATCTGGTGCCTGGGAATGTTCCTGGGTGGCTGCATAAGATGCCTAGCTGCTATGATAATGCCCTGCATGAAAAGGATCTTCATAAGAGGCTTAGCTTCAACCTTGATCTCAGGCACATAGCTCCCAGGGATAGAGGAATTCTCATGCTAGATGACCACAATGTTTCACCAGCTCTGCTACTTCTAAGCCTGCCTGCTTAATAGTAACTTTAAACAATGGACCTTCTTGAGCATTTCACAAAGCTGCTAACATTCCACATGGCAACTGTGGATTGCAACTATGGAAAATCTCCATAGATGTTTCTTTTTTCTGTAACTTTCCTGAAGACAAAGAATAATGGTAGCATAGTCCTTAACCTGATATGAGACATACATAAATAAAAATTGCTGGCCAATCTTGAGACCTGCTTCTCTATCAGAAAGCAGCACTCCACCTAATCCCAGCTGCATAATTCACAATCTGTGTGTGAATCTTCATTTTCTAATCTGTTATCACCCTTTGCTGGAACCATGAGTTTGGCCACACTGATTGCCACAAATCTCGATGTCTCACAATTTTCACTATGAACTTCACGTCTTTCTGCTTTGCTAAAACTTTCTCACAAATCACTTTGTGTGTGTGTGTGTGTGTGTGTGTGTGTTGTGCTGTGGAGCAAACCCAGAGCCTGTGCATGAGAGGCAAGCACTCTACCAAGTGCACTATGTCCCCAGCCCACAATAACTTTTTGATGAAAAAAACCTATATAATAAACATCCTGAGCTAGCTCTGGGTTATTCATCCTCCATCAGAGGTTGAATCCCCACCTGGCCTCAGGTTTTTTCTCTATGTGTGTCTGTTTGTCTTTTCTCAGTCCCCCATCACCTCTCACCAGTGTCTGAATTAATAGCCATGCATGTCCTTGCACCTGAGTTCAGAAAAGCTCCCTGAACTTAGCTGATCCAGAGGCTGCACTGAGCAATGGTATTTGAAAAGTGCCCTGTGCTTCCAAATGAGTCATGGGCACCTGAGGCAGAGCCATTTTGAAGTGGCCATTCTGTGTCTGCTTCTTAGGGAGCCAGGAAATCAGAGCAAAGACTGTCACACTGTCCCAGCAGGCACCTACACTACAGTCTAGGGTATACCTAGCAGAATGGAAGTGAAACAGGCACAGAAAAGATTGTACCCATGGGGATTCAAGTTCGAAAAGAGAAAGAGAGCCCAACCTGCTTCTCCTTTGAGTCTGGTGACTCATATGACCAGCCAGAGCAGGGCAGGAATCCCAACAGGCAGGTGTGAATATATTCATGGACTAATTCAGGAAGGCTGTATTCATGGGCAGCACAGTGTGGAGGATAGGCTCCCTTGTGCCATAAGTAGAATTCATGGGAGGTTCCTGAGATCCACACAAGAGATGGGCATCTGCCAGGCCTTAGGGGTGTGTTGATCTAATGCCTCCAGAGCAGAGCCCACCCAATAAAGTCTCTGAGGCCTGATTAGACCTCAGTCCCACCCACAAGCTGTCCCCTCATAGGATTCTGTGGCTGCCCCACCCTGAGAATGCATCCATCTGGTCTGTGCAGACAAATTCCCACTGACAGTAGGTAACATCCCATCCTACCACATCCTGGAGAAAAGAGAAGCTGAGAATTATTCCAACCAGCTTCAGTTTAGATCATTCCAACTGGCTTCTAGGTGGGCAGCACAGGAGGAAGAGATTAACAACCCCCAGACCTTGCTCTCCTGCTCAGTAAGTAGTTCAAGAAGAAATAGAAAGGGCAATAAAGCATAGACAGTGATCATCCATTCTTGTAGACTGTTTTGACCACCTCAGTGGAAACAAGCCCTTCATTTTACATTAAGAATATTTTTTCTTTTTTCTTTCTTTCGTGTGTGTGTCTGGTGTGCTGATCGGTTCATGGAGATAGATATAGATACAGATATTTCTTTTTCTCTCACTTTTAGCATTTTTTTAAAGTGTAGTTATTTCTCCTGGCCTTCAAGCTTAAGATTTGGGGTTTGAATATTTTGGTTTTGTTTTATATTGTTTTCTTTTCCTCTTGTTTCTCTCTTTCTCTCTCTCTTATCATGCCAGCAGCCAGAAGCCATTATTCTTTCATTCACTCTCCCTTTACATTGTTACTTCTATCTTTTCTTCCCCCTTGCTTATAACCATCACCTGTTCCATCTCTTCTGAATTCTTTCTGGTCACTTTTTGAAATCATTAACTCTTTCCTGTCTTTCTATCACATCTTCTTTCTCCTAACTTATTCTTCCATTGTTTAGCATGAATTGGTTTATATAACTCCTGCTCCCACCATTAATGCTGTTGTAGTTTTTACTGCTGTGGATGGCAGTTGACACCTGTTGTTTGGTTTAATGCCAGGTCCAGCTAATGTTACAAACTGTTTTTGCCATTGGTAATTTCTGACCCCAACATTTCTGGGGTTTTTGTTTTGTTTTGTTTTTCTAAAATTAACAGTGTAGATGTCATAGTAGGTAAATTCTAACAGAATATGATTTGAGTGAATTAATAAGAGTTCTATGCTCTTTCTTTACCACATTTATCTCAGGCCCAAATTTACGCATTTCTTTTTATTAGCTCTGAACCATCAGAGCTAAATATTTTATTCCATCATGAACAATAGCAAAAAAAAATGATACTTATTCTAAATGGATTTCATGAAAATCTAAAAGATGGGTTGTTTTTTAAATTCTGTAAAGTTGAGGCAGTATTGCAGAATTATAAAAGATCTCTGTTTTTTCTACATATGAAAGCATTATAGTTCTAAAATCTGTAAGAACTTTTGCCTAGGAATGTCTCTTTTGAATTCAATTTTAACAATATCACAATATTTTTCAGATTTTACATTGGAAGTAACATTTAGAAGTTCCAATAGTTCAGTGAAGTTGTTCAAGTGTGTCATTTATACTTTAGGGAGTAGTATTTGGGAGGGGCAGGAATTCACCTTTATCAATTACCAAAAAATCTAGATATGCTTCAAAGCTTAAAATTAGTTTACAAATAAATATTGCTACATTTTTACAGACCACAATTTTAATCAGTAGAGAAAAACTTTCAGAGTTCCAGGGCAGGGGCAGAGCCACCCCACACCCACACAGAAAGGCAACCTGTGCTGAGGTTCCTTATTCACCAAAGTGTGACTCTGCAGCCTAACATCAGGAAACATACAGGCTTGAGGCTTCCACTGATAAGAAACTGGAAAATCACTGCTTCTATCAAGAGGCAACAATAAGGGCCTGGTAAAATGTCACCAAGGTCCCTGTGGCCTGGCTGCACCAGAGGTTTCTCTACCAGGGGTGCTAACAGCTATCCTATTACTAAGTGACAGAGAGTCTTGCATAGGGTTGCCTATCTTTTGTTTCTCCTACTAACAGCCAACTTCCTATGATTATCTTCTCACAAGTCATATAATCTAATATATGCATATTCTCACATCCTACCTCATAAACATCTCCTCCAACCACCTAGTCTGCCTTTCACCATCAGAAACTGTAAATCATTATGCAAACCTATTGATCATATGGTTGAAGAAAACCAAACTCATCGTTTATGTTCATAGTGACAATACTGTAAACATAAAAATAGAAGCTAACTGATATATGGCTGCACATTTGATACATTGAATGCTATAGTATTAATCTCTCCCTTAAAAATGAAGTATGGGTAACCTGTACGCACACTATAAGGCAATAGGACAGAAGCTGTAATATCTCAGATCTACACTGCAAGAGAGGAAGACACATAGACATCATTAAAAAAAATCAAGGGAGGAAAGTGCCCCAAATAAACCAAGATACTACAACAATAGAATCCATAGATAGTGAAGTAGGTAAAATATCAGAGAAGGAATTCATAATATACATAATTAAAATGATTTGGGAAGAATGACCTAAGTGAGCAGATAAAGGTAAAAATCAATCACACCAACAAGGAGATAAGAGAACAAATTCAGGTGATCATTGATCACACCAACACAGAGATCAGAGAGAAAATACAGATTAAAAGAGATTACTTCAAGAAAGATATAGAGATACTGAAAAAAAACCACAAATCCTTGAAATGAAAGAAACAATAAGCAAAAAAAAAAAACAAAAAAACAAAAAAACCTCAATAAATAGTATCACCAACAG